TGAGCTACAGTGTGTGTGATCTAAACTAGAATTCACACTGAATCCTACCTTAGCATGACGCACAACCGATTATGATACACAACTAACTTCGGTCGGCTTGGACATAACAATTAGGTGGTTAGGTCTCAACCAATGTCAGATTCTACAGGGAATGTTGAATCTATTTTTAGGTTACTCTGATACATATGGCAATGCAGCAAAGAATACTACTCTATCTGCAGCTGTCTGTCAGTTGTCAGTCAAGTCCGTAACATCTAAATAATCAAAAATAGAAATAATGCTCCCTGCAGAGATGTATGCTGAATGGTTGTTTATCTAATTAATGCTACAGCGAACAGTTGCCGGAATCCCCCATCTCCCTATGTCCTTCTTGAGTTGTCTCTTTGTGTCGACGCCCTGAGCATCTGGTTGAGCAGCGTGTCTAAAGGTGTGCAATCCGGTTCACCCCTGTGCCCCAAGTCAACGCCGAACCTGCCAGCCCCTGCACATTATTTATCCTCGCATGCAACGAGCCTTACCCCCGGTTTGATCTGGCTGATCAGGAGGCATTTAAGGAGATCCCCCGTAACTCCGGAAGTATTTAACGTAGCAGACAGGACGACAATCACAGCCAGAATCAACACCGAGTCCCCGCCAGAAATATTTAGAGACGGTCTGGTAAGCGTCTGTTCAAAGGGCTGGCATGCCCTGCATGACCTCTATTGCGCATCAGCAGAACCAAGGACTTGCGACAAAGCATGCGTGGTGACCGGAGTGCTTCGTCCAGGGCCCTTTAGAGGCATCGCCAGTCTCCCACCAGCTTGCTGCCTAGGAAGAATGTCGACTCTCAAGGTTGAGCGCTCGCGACACCTCACATTGAGAGGACTCTCAAGACAAGACTCACTTCCTCACGGTAAGAAGCAATGATGATGACCGGTCTTTGCCTTGGCACAACCCACAGCAGAATGCAGTTCCACCTCGGCTTAAATGCCACATCAGCGAGCTCTCATCATCTAGCGTACACCGCTAATGTCACCACATAGCTTCCTGGCGCGCCCACACGACCCTGGGCCGCATTACGTTCAACGCCCAAGCCTTATCACTGGCCCACACCTCATGCGAAGCACCGAACAGCTATTGAGAAGAACAATGAGCGCAGTTCGAACCAGCTCCAATACCAAATTGCAAGGAAAATGAACAGAAGCGAGATGATAATATTCAGATTGCACAATCACATTGAAAGCCAAAATCGTAACACAGTGTTTAGGAAGCAGCATTGCACCAATGTAACACCAATGGAGAATCGTAGCACTGAATGTCAATGTCAATGAGAGCTTTCTCTCGCCACCACCAACACATGTATCCAGTCTCTATCTCCCTACCTGGCGCTCGGCGCCCAGCCTACTCCCTACACAGCTACTACTAGCCTACTAATTGACAATCAGCAGCACCCGAAGTACTTGAAGATGTCGCCCATGCTGAACCATCGCCAATACCAGGTATGTGCCCTCACATCCTCATCATCATCATCCTTCTCTCTCTCTCCCTTGTCTCTCCCTTACGTCTTCCCTTCTCTACAACCGAAGACCACCCCTGCGTATGTCCAAGCCCACGGCCAGATATGGAGGCTGGGCTGTGGCGCTGCCCTCAGCAGCGCCCTGCTTCACCACACGACCGCACGTGCGCAGCCTCTTGCTCCAATGCTAGCAGCCAGCACGCGAGCTATCGCTCCAGCAGCGCTGCCGCCAGCCAGCAAGTGCCCGAATGAGGCTGGCCAGGGAGAGCTCTTTCCTATATGGAAAGAGCTGGCCTGCTCGCGCAGCCTGGCTGGGCTTGGCCTGGGCCCGGAAGCTTCCGGTAGGCCCCAGGATGCTGCGCTTGTGTGCAGCTACTGGGCCTCTTGCGGTTGGGCCTCCCAACTGTCAGTGTATGATGCTGCGATTCTCGCCCAGGGCCTGCATTCTTTGGAAAAGCCCAGAAGGCCGTGGAAATGTCTCTGTTGCCTGGCCTGGGTTTCTCTCAACCAACTGATGCGTCGCAACTGCCTGGACCCCGAAGATGAATTTGACAGCCGAGGGCCTCTTGTGATATGTTAGGCCCGCCTTCACTTAGGGCGGGCACTCTTGCAACAGGGGCCCCTCAGGCCTGCCGAGGACCCAGATCCTCGCAAAAAGGAATTAAGTAAAATATTCCCGAAGTTCGAGAATTTCGAAAGAGAATTTATTAAAATATACGAGAAAAGGAAATGAAGTAAAATTATTTTTGAATTTTGAAAAAAAAAAAAGAAATATAAAAAAAGAATTTAATTTATTCTAATTTCTAACATATTTTCAAAATTTTCGAAAAAGAATGAAATTAATGAATGAAATGTAGTTCAGAATTTCAAAGAAATGTCAAAAAA